CCCCCCCCCCCCCCCCCCCCCCCCCCCCCCCCCCCCCCCCCGTTCTAGAAGGATGTGCAGGGGTCTCAATGTCTCAATTTTGAGCCAACTGCTTACATTCCCAGAGGAGTCCACTGCACCAGAGGTCTGAGAAGCACCTGTGGCCTGAACCTGGACCCTACGTTTCTAAGACAACCTGGGCAACGAACACGTCAGCCCGCGGAACGCGATCGCCCTGCACCGTCCCCTACCACGCCGGGGGCCAAAGAAACTGCCATGCACTGCTCCTCACGTCAGAAGGGCGGGTTCCCCACCAGCAAAATCTACAAGTACGAATTTACGGTCTGCAGACACCCCAGGAGAAGTTTAGGCTGAAGAAACGGGTGAGGTCCAAAGTGGGTCAAGCGGCCAGAGTTCTATTTGCTACGGGAAGGGAAGGGAGGGGGCGTTACCTGGTACCCACCTACAATCTTGCTTCTTGCAGCACAGAGCCCTTGGGTGCTGATGTCATCAGGGATTCAGAATAGGCCTGAATGGCCTCCTTATCCTTTGAGCCCTTTTCACTACTACTCCAAAATAAATAGCATTTCTCCTAGAAGATAACCAAGCTAATTTATAGTTGACTCTGCAGCCAAACGCAAAAGGTTCTTCAATCTCCGAAAAGCAAAGAGCGGGGTGTTAAGTCCAACAACCGTTACCGACCAGAGAGGCTGAGATTGGGGGTGGGGGGCGGGGAGTGGGTGCCCTTCACCAGACACAGAAATGCGGGCATCTTCGGGAAACACGCCTGGTCGGACAGACTAGCCACGCAGGAACGGCGGCTGTCGGCCCGAACGTTCAGGCTTTGGACGAGAGCCAGGGTGGGGAGATGGGCCACGGTGGACAGGGCGTATTGGCCAAGAACCCGCGGGCTGAGCAGGTGGCGTTTTAAAGGCACCAGAAACAGCTTGGCTATTTGAAAAGAACAACTTGAGAAGAAAAATTTCTCGGCAATTAAAATGTGCTGAGTTCACCAGCATGTGATGATGATTATTTTCTTAAAATCGGGACAAATCACATAAAACCACGGAAGGCCTAGGGGCGCCTGGGTGGCTCAGTCGGTTAAGCATCCGACTTCAGCTCAGGTCATGATCGCAGAGTCTGTGAGTTCGATCCCCGCATCAGGCTCTGTGCGGACAGCTCGGAGCCCGGAGCCTGCTTCGGATTCCGTGTCTCCCTCTCTCTCTGCCCCTCCCCCGCTCATACTCTGTCTCTCTCTCCTTCAAAAATAAACATTAAAAAAATAAAAAAACACGTAAGGCCTAACGCCTGCTAAGTTCCCCCGCAAAAAAAAATACATAATGGGATAAATTTCCATTATTTGGCCTCCAGTGACACCTGTAGGGACTGCGTCCTCAGTGAAAACAGACGTCCTTACTGGGTCCGAGGGTGGTGAGGCCTGGAGGCCTGGAGGGAAGGGGCCTTAGCCAGCGATTTCCCACGAGCTTCCTCACTCTCCTTCCCCCTCTGGCTTTCGACGGACACTTAGGAGACAGAGAGGACACATCCAGCCAGTCCACTGGGTCCCCTGGCTGTGACAGTACACCTTCACTGCTGGAAGCACCCAAGGAGGGATCCACAGGCTGGGAGCCTTGGCTTCTGGTCCCCTCCACCCTCCTAGCGTAAATCAGGCAAAAAACTATAGGGAGTTTCCTTGCGCTCCCTAGAGCGCGAGGTCTGCTCAGCCCGGTCTCCCTGGGCCCCCAACAGGCTGCTTACACCCCTCGATCACCAGGGACTCAAACACCAGAGCACTGGCATGATAAGAGCTCCGGGGCCTTGGCACCCTGGCACCAGGGCCAACCTTTCCCCCTAAAGGATGGGGAATTTGGAAGGCACATTGGGTTAAGGGTCCGAAACCTATGTTAGGAGTCTGGGAAGGTTTATCGTTGCCCCCAGCGAGCAAGCAAGCGTGCAAGCCGCCCCCCCAAAAAGAGGAGAAAGCAGAAGAGTTGTTTGCCAAAGCTGAAGCAAGAAAGCAGGTGCCGCGGGGGCCCAAGGCCCCTCCCACACGGCTTGCCCATCCCCGCCTCAGGGCCTTTGCACTGGCTATTCGTGTGCTTGAAGCACTCCCTCTGTGACTTTGTGCTGACTGCCTCATTAGCATTCACATCTAAGCCTAAATTCTGCCTCTTCAGGGAAGGCTTTCCGGATGCTCTCTATAGCTGTCCCAGACCCTCTTGAATACAATGCTCCCTGGTCCAGTAGCCACATAGGGCTGTTAGGTCTTTTAAGTGGGGTGAGTCTAGGGGCGCCCGAGTGGCACAGCCAGTTAAGTGTCCAAATCTTGATATCGGCTCAGTTCACGGTCTCACTGTCAAGAGATCGAGCCCCGTGTCAGGCTCCATGCGTTGGGCACAGAGCCTACTTGGGATTCTCTCTCTCGCTCACTCTCGCTCTCTCCTATCCCTCCCCTGCTCTCTCTCTCAAAATAAAAAAAAACATTTAAAAATAAATAAATGGGGTGAGTCCGATTCAAGACCTGCCGTGTTAAAACACACAGCAGATTTTAAAGACTTAACGTAAAAAAAAATAATGTAAAATACAGTTAAATTTGTATTTTTTATATTGATTGCATGTTCATACGGCTGCATTTCGGGCCTATCCGGATTAAACAAAATCTAGGATTAAAATCGATTTCTTTTTACTGGATGTGGCGACTTAAAAAACGAAGTTTCCAATCCCGGATGCGGCTCACGGATTTCTACCGGACAGCACTAACCTGTCACGTGTCCCGCCACCTTTATCATCGGCGGAGTGATCTTTTCTATTTACTTGGTCTTCTGTCTCCCCAACAGGGAAGCCACGTGCCCCCAGAGCGGGACCGTGTCTGCCTCGTTCACGACCGTGAACCTGGCACCCAGCAGGTGCTGACTTGACGAGCAAACCATTCAAGGACCAGGTCTCATTATCAGAGCCCACCCAAAGCCCCTCCAAGGGAGGGTCCCTAGGCCTCCCGGGACAGGCAGAAAAAAGTGGTAAATGCGGGACGCGAGTGAGGCAGAGACGCAGGGCAGCTCCCCTGCCCCGGGCAGAGACATGGCACCGCTGCCCAAGGCGGGCTCCAAGCTGAGGGCGTCTGCGGGAGCGACTGGAGGAATGGCCGGGCGAGCCCATCCGAATCCCGCTTACCCTGACAGGCGAGAGGGGGCCGTTCGGCCCGGGCCTCCCTCCAGCCGCCACCTACCTGGCTCCGGATCTGATGGATGATGGGGATGAACAGCAGGACGCAGCCCAGCCCGACGAGGACGTACTGGGCATAGTGTAGCACACTGGGCACCAACACCAGCTGGGTGTAGAAGGTCTGCAGGGGCTCACCTTCCATTGCCCCGCTCTGGGGATGGAGAATAACAGACTAACAGGCTGGGCCGCACTCGGCAGGCCCCGGGACACGGAGGCCGCGCCACGCCACCTCCAGGTCCCCCGCCCCTTACCCGTCTCACGACTGCCCCCCTCCCAGAGCTTGTGATGGAGCCTATGGGGGCCTCCGTTCCCGCGGGGCCCCAAGCGGGACTACATTTCCCAGACTCCCTTGCAGCCGGACAGGGCCACGTGATCGTGTTCCGGCCAACAGGAGGCGGGCCCGGTATGCTGCGACTTCCGGCCCGGCCCGTAGACACCTGCCCGCGGATTCTCTAGTTATCTGTCCTAATTCCCTGAAGGTGACGGGCTCTGAGGCTCCCCGGGAGGGCGGGGCCATGAGGCAGAGCTCCGCCTCCCACAACCGGTCCAGCCTGAGAGGTGAGTTCTGCCTGATTGAAAACAAGCTGGCCATGGAAACCAATTTGACAATAAATTTCATATATTGAAAAAAAAAAAAAAAGAAAACAAGCTGGCCAGAAGGAACCCTGAAAAACTGGGAGGAAAGAAAGTTCGAGGGAAAAGCTGATACCCTGGGGGGCGGCTGGGGGGCTCAGTTGGTCAAGCATCCAACTTCGGCTCTCTGGGCACGATCTCAAGGTTCGTGGGTTCGAGACCCGACGAGGGCCTAAACCCTGGCGCTTGCTTCGAATTCTGTGTCCCTGTCTCTCTGCTCCTCCCCCACCTCGTCCTCTCTCTCTCTCTCTCTCAAAAATAAACATTAAAAAGTTTTTTTAAAAAAAGAAAAGCTGACACTCTGAAAAGCAACTTCCTCCCTCTCCGGAGAAGTGGTCAAGCGCATTTACAAAATTACACCCTGGGCCAGATAGAGCTTCACATTTTCATGCAGCTTCTGTCTTTCTCACCTCAAGTGATCCTTTCAACTCCGTGGGATAATTGATATAAAGCGCTTGGACCTCAGGAAGCTTCTAACAGATGGTCTTATAGCCCCCCCCCGTCCAGCTCCCAGCCCAGCCTCCCCTCCTCCACAAACAGCCCCCCTCCTGCAAAGCCCACACAGGCCCCTCCCTGGGGTCCCAGACACCACGCCCAACGGTTCCCGCGCAGGCAACGTGAGACAGCCTCTCACCTCCTCAAACCACATCAACGGCAGGACTACTGGCTCGATCTTCCCTGTTTGTCTGGAAATAAGAACAAAACATTGTGAGTTTTGTCAGCATGTTTTTTATGTCCGGCAGCTTTGGACATGTGATCGTAGGGTCCAGATCAGCAGGGATTTGATTTTGCAAGGACTGGATTGGTGCCCGCTTGAGAGAGGGGTATTTCCTGGCAGGGAGCAACTCGGCGATCTGCTCACATCTTTTTGAATTAAAAACTCACGTCACCTACACGGTAGGGGGCCGGGGGGGACTGCCAGCGACCTGGCTGATGCCCACTGGTTCCTTTTAGAAACAAAAGCCCACAGTAATTCGGGATGGTACTGCACCCAGCACTATGCTCACCTCCTGCTTTCCTTTGGAGAGTCTGGAGGCTGGGTCCACGCCAGAGGGTGTCTACGTGACCAGGCCCCAATAAATACCCTGGGCGCTGAGTCCCTAATGGACTTCCCTGGTAGAAGACACTTCACATGCGTTGTCACAACTCAATGCTGGAGGAATTAAGGGCGTCCTATGTGACTGTCCCAGGAGAGGGTTCTGGAAGCTTCTGCCTGGCTCCCGCAGACTTCACCCCGCACACCTTTTCCTTCGCTGATTTTGCTTGAACCCTTCCTCCATAATCAATCACAGCCACGAGTACAACTATGTTCTGGGTCCTGGGTGTCTTCCCAGTGAATCATCGAACCGGACGGTGGTCTGTCTTGGGGTCCCCCGACACAACTGACTAGCTGTGTGACCCTGGGCACGCGACCTACCCTCCCTGTGTCTCCTCCGCCAAGTGGGGACTGCACTGGCACTGAATGCGGCCCCATGAAAAGTGCTCAGAAGAACACCCACCCTATAGCAACTACCCCAAGCTCGTTACTGTCATCGCTGTTGTTCGTTACCAGCGAACAAACGGGCCAAAACATTCTTCAGCTTCACCGTTTTGGGGTCTGCTCAAAGAAGGCACAGCCGGACGGAGGGGAAAGGGGACCCACCAGGGGGACAGAACCGGAGTCGGCACGAATGGCCCAAATCCTTCAGTCACCACTCCCAGAACTCTCTCGGGCCGCCTGAGACACAGAGTGTCATGCAGGGCAACGAGCTGATACGGCACCCGCCGCGGAGGTGACACACAGAAAACATTACAGAAACACAACAGGAAGTCCACGCTGGCCCCTTCTTATTTGAGTTTGTAAGAACTGGTGTAAGTTCAGGGCAAAGAGCACGCAACCCAGCTGTCCGGATCTTGCGAGGACGGGGCGCCAGAGTCCCCCGGACGAGCCGCAGCGAAACAGCTCTCCGTGCGGGCAGCCGTGTCTCCGGCTTTTTCCCACGGCCACTGCCCACTGGCCCTCGGGGCTGGCGGGAGGCACCGCTGTTAGACCGGTTCCTTCGAGGCCAGAAGGAGTTGGGGGGGGGGGGGGGGTGGGTCAGACAGCTGTGTCGCCCTGTCGTGCCTGTCGCCCGGCACCCAGAGGCCCAGAGAGGTCAGGTCAGGGTAGAGGCCCGGGAGTCCCCACCACGCAGAATCCAGCGGCCCCCGGGGGTCCTGCTGACTTGAGCAACCTTTGTCGGGGATTCAAATTCACTTCCCACAGGTGAAAGTTAAGGGAGCGCTGGTTAAAATGCAGATTTTGAGAAACGCCTTTGAAAATGGCCTTTGAAAATGCACCCGATGGGGCCACAGTGGGCAGGTGTGAGCCCCCTGGTGCTGGGGAGGGGCGGGTCCTGGGCCCCATCCCCACCCGGCTTGCCTGGCTTCTCCTAGTCACCTGCTGGCCCCCCACGAAGTGATGCAGGCCCCAGAGCTGGAGCTCTGGGGGGGGTGGGGGGGGAGGGCAGGCGCCTGGTGAACCCCCTGTGCCATTTCACCACCTAGCACACCCTCCGACAGCCCCCAAACAGATAAAAAGCCAGGGCGGGAGCGGAAGAGAGGAGCGTATTCTTTCCAGCTGAAAGGCATTTTACAAAGGCGGCGAGATAGATGCTCACATTCCTGCAGCCCAGGAATCTTTGTAGGGGAAGCTTTTTTTAACGAAACTATTCCAAATATGCGTAAAGAAACAAAACAAAACACAACACAGAAGCCAGACCCCACCACCACGACTAAACCGGTGCAGCCCCTCACCCACCCCCTCATGGCACCCCGTTCCAACCGCCGCTGGCGAGGATCGTGGGGGCCCGACGACTCCTGCGCTGCTGGCGGGAAGGCCAACCGGGCAGCTGCCGTGCAAAACAGCGACTCCAACGCTGAACGCAGAGTTCCCGCGACGCCCGCGAGGGATCCGCCCCCAGGTGTCTGCCCAAGGGAATCGAAAGCGTGCACCCACCAGAAACATATACGGGCACGTTCGCTCCTCACGACGGCCAAAAGCGACAGAGACCCAGATGCCCCTCAACTGAGCGAGAAGACACGCCGTGTGCGTCCAACGGAACAGGATTCGGCCGTAAAACGGAAGACGCTCGGCCACCTGCTACGCCTCGGATGAGCCCTGACGACACGACGCCAGACGGCAAAGGCCACGTCTCCTACGCTTCTATTTATGGGACGTTTCCGGCACAGGCAAATCCAGAGACACCGAAAGTAGATCAGGGCCTGCCAGGGGCTGGGGGAGGCGGGGGGAGGGGGGGGGCGGCTGCTAACGGACCGGGGGTATCTTTGGGGGTGACGGACTGCGACGGCCCTGCGCGACTCCACGGATCTGCCTCCAATCACCCAGCTGTACGTTTGAAAAGGGTGAGCGTAACGGCTTGTGAATTGTATCTCGGTAAGGCCACGATGCGACACGGAAATGAAGCAAAACACAAAGGAATAGCTTAAAATATTCCTCCCACAAAGGGAAGAGTCACACTTTAAAATGCCTGTTGGGTGAGTTTCCATTTTCAAAGACTTGCTTTTGCCAGGATTTAATTTTTTTTTTTTTTTCCAGTTTTCTGTTGAGTGGGAAACCGCTTGGACAGAAGAGTCTGCTGAATCTGGGGGACAGATGTTAAGACAGAAAACGCGGGGGTTCCGGGCCGGGGACCAGCCGGCACATCCGGGAGGAGCGTCTCCCTCCCCACGTGCGGGTCCCTGGGGACATTCCCCGCCCCCCCTCCCCCCCAGGCCCAAGTCCCCGCCCCCAAACAAGCCACGCGGCCCCTCCTCCCGGACCCACTCACCCGATGCCTTGGACGGCCTTGACGTACAGGCTCAGCTGTAGTTTCACAGAGCAGTTCATGGGGATCCCGGTGACCTGTAGGAACAGCACGGTGAGGGGCCTGGGTTCGCGCCCCGGGAACGCCCCCAAACCCGCGTCCCTGGGCCCGCTCAGAGGGCAGGCGACAGGGCTGAACTGCCGGGGCACCGGGGCCTCCCCGCTGGCTCCAGGCCCTTCCGGGGGGGGGGGGGGAGACACACGCTTCCCCGAAGGCTCTTGTGCCCACGACGCTTCTCTGAGTGCAGAGTGACATTTGCCACTCGTTGCCCGCCCCTCCCCCCCCTCCAGACCAAGCAAAATAGATTTGCATGTGAATAAAGTCGCTCTCAGTCACACAACTTGCCCTGACTGTCTCAAACCTAATGATCTTTTACCCTTGTGTTCAGTTTCATGGCTGCCGCCTTCTTTTTTTCGAGAAATTTGTAATTTGCGACGCGAGGTGGTGACAGGAAACTTCCTTTGTGCCGAAACCTACCCTTTTCTTCTAAGAGAGGAGTTTTTAAAGCGGTAAGCAGACAGCAGGAGAAGCGACACACACGTAGGCCCCCAACTCAGGGAGGTGGCTCCCGAAGAGGACAGGGACCGAGGTTGGAGGTCGGGAGGCCGGAACTGTCGCCTCTTAGCTGAGGCCTGTTTCTTCATCTGCAAAAGGGGCTCATTCCCGCCACCTCACTGCGGGGCAAAATGAGGGATGGAAAACAGCCACACTCAGGGCCATAAACGCTTGCGTGACGATCACGCACATTGGGGGAAAGGGAAATATCTTCCATGAAAAGTAGGCCTTCCGGGCCCCGATGGCACAGAGGGACAGCGCAAAGGCCGTGCTCCCGCGACCAGGGAGAGCTTGGACCCAAGAACCGACAGGCTGGGAGGGAGTCCACCCGCGGGTGGAAAAGTGATAAGGCAGCAGGCTGGAGGCTGTCCTCCTCACAGAGGCCTGCTGGCCGGGCTGGTCGGCGGCTGGTGTCCGGGAACCTGGATTTCGGGAGCCCCCCCCACCTCACTCCCTAACTGATAAGGGGGGCTCACTGTGCCTGGACTGTTTGTACAAACGTTGTGATTTATGCCGACCGTCGGTCTTCCCGCGGGGAGTCTGGAAGTTTGGAAGGTACCAGGCAGAGGGTGCCGCTGGGAAAAGTCCCCGGTGAGCACCCAGGGCGCTGTCTCTAACGGGCTTCCCTGGGGGATGATTCACCGCACTGCTGGGGGAACTAAGTGTGTCCTGTGCGGCCCCCCTGGGAGACGGTACTCCGTGTCCTTTCTCTGCAACAAATCACAGCCGTGATTTCCACCATATGCTGAGTCTGGGAGTCCTGCTAGCAAATCGTCAGACTCGGGGGTGGTCTCGGAGACCCCGAAATGTTAAGACGATGTGGAAAAGCCTTAGCATTTCTTTTTTTTTTTTTTTTTTTACATTTTTTTAATGTTTATTTTCGAGACAGAGAGAGGCAGAACGTGAGCGGGGAAGGGACGGAGAGAGAGGGAGACCCAGAATCCGAAGCAGGCTCCGGGCTCCGAGCGTTCTGCACGGGGCCCGACGCGGGGCTCGAACTCGAGAACAGTGGGATCCTGACCTGAGCCGAAGTCGGACGCTTAACCGACTGAGCCACCCAGACGCCCCGAGCCTTAACATTTCTAACAAGAAAGAACGAACTTCAATGGAACACATAATATATTAATATTAATTACTACCAATTTAATTAATGAATACCATTAAATTAACCTCATTAAAATTCACTAGATATTAGCACAGGACATGAGGTGGGGGCTTCAGAAGGCCTGTGTTTGAACTCAGCTTTGCCACTTCCTTTTGCCCACTTATCAAACCCGTACCTACTGAGTTCCTCTATGCGAACGGCTAGAAGTCAAGCGATGAACGGAACAGAACGGATCTTTCCTCTGTGGAGCCAACGGTCCCATTTATTAGTTGTATCACGTGACCTATCTGGGCCACAGTTTCCCCATCTGTACAATGGGAGGAGCAGTGCTCACTGCCCAGATAATTGTGCAAATTTACTGCGTTACTGCATGTGAAAGTCTCCGGCTGGTGTCTGGACCATAATGAGTGTGCAAGCACCATTTGCTGGAAGTGAAGTGCGTGTAGTCACAGTTGACTTAACTAGCCTGGGTTCCTAGTGAAAAGAGAGGGGGGCGGGGCAGGGGGAGAAGGTGGAGTGCCAGGGGCTGGTGAACGGAGCCAGGAGCTCCGAAAATCTGAGGGGCACGCAGAGAAATGACGTGGAACGGTGTCAGGCAGAAGAGGTTTGAAAAAGGCCTGTGCGAAAGGCCACGAGTGTCCATGCAGGAGACAGAAGCCCGCAGGATTTTTAATCAACGGCGAAGGCCGCCAGGTCCAAATGGGCACCTTTTACAGTGACAGCGATACTAGGAGATAAGGCAATCAGGTAAAGATAGGCCCACAGGAGGGCCACCTCTGTGGGCCTGCTACCCTCTTCTCTGGGTCCCCGCCTGCAGACAGAATGTGACAGAGGACAAATTCCCCAGAACCCAATTTGTCTACAAGATATTCCAGGCTCTCGTCGGGACCTAGAGATCTTTATGATATATTGGCACGGTCAGAGGGCTCCTCTGGCTAACTGGTATGCTGATAATTCTAACTGATTTACTGTCTTATGGTCCTTTCAGAAAGACAATTCCCTTGTGACGAAATAATGAGTCCCTTGAACTATGGAGTCAGGGCAAAGTAGGGGCCTCTGACAGCTTGACATTCCAGAAGCTATCAATGCCAAGGAAAGCCAGGCTTCCCATCACCCCCCCACCCCACCGCCAGAATAGCTCAGTGCCTGGGGGGCGGGAAGGGGGAGAAGCTGGCATCCCGCCCCCCACAGGCTGACAGGCAAGGGCTCACCGGGTGGACGTCCAGGAATAAGGAATGTTCCTCTGGGTTGGGGTGGAGGCCACGCACCGCCTCTGCCAGCATCGGGTCGGCGTTGTAGAAGTGAGGGTGGGAGAGAAACAAGGGTGCATCTAGAAGGCAGAGGGGCGGAGAGAAGGGGGGGCATCAGACAAGGGAGAGCGTCAGCACGTCCAAGGCTTGCTTCGTGCCAGGCTCACGGGATGAAACAGAGCCGCTGCCTGCAGAGCCCGCGGATGATGACACAATGCAAACGACAATAACTAGACAGAGAGAATCCATCCCTTCGTCCGGCCTGTAAATGCCTGTCAAGTGCCCAAGAGATGCCAGGCACTGGGAAGAGACGAGCCCTGTGTCCCAGGGATGGGAACGGAGGAGCGGCGGACGCGGGTGAGGAGATCACAGGGAGGAAAGGAGGATGGTTAAAATACGCCAGGCAGGGAAGGCCAGGGCACGACGTTTCAGGGGGAGGGTTTGGCAGAAGCAAAGGCAGGGAGGTGGGGAAATGCACGGTGCACGTGGAGCAGACAGGGCATTGAGGGGAATTACAGGAGTTGAGGAGAGAAAGGTAAGTCGAGGCCAGATCTGGACTTGGGTGGGGAAGGGGTATCTCGATCGCCAAGCCAAGCAGCCCAGGCTGTATTCCGCAGGCAACGCGGCGATCTTGGGAGACGCGGAGGGGCGCACGCCTGCGGCCAGGTCTCCCGAACGTGATGGGAAGGAAGGAGACGCACCTGCTTCGCTTCTCCTCTCCCAGCAGCCGGTGTGGGGGGCGGACGCCAGCGAGTGTGAACAGGGACTGACTCGGGCCCCTCCGTGTGAGCAATTCACACCCAGAAACATGAGGCCGAACCTCCCCATCAACTGATCGAGCAAGGCAAACACCAACGCACCCTCGTATGCTCAGGACAACGTGCAAAGGGCCTGACGGACAATGAGTTGACGAGGAAAAGAAGGAGTCTCTCTCAAAAACCCACGAGGATCCAGAAGAGGCAAATCCTAGAGACAGAATGCAGACTGAGCTCACCAGGGGCCGGGGGAGGGGAGACGGAGAGCGGCTGGTGACGGGTATGGGTCTCTTTTCGGAAGGATGAGAACATTCTGGAACTAGACAGAGACGGGAGGTGCACGATATTGTAAATGTGCTAAATGCCACTGAACCGCATTTTTTTTTTTACATTTTTAAAAATGTTCTGGGGCGCCTGGGTGGCGCAGTCGGTTAAGCGTCCGACTTCAGCCAGGTCACGATCTTGCGGTCCGTGAGTTCGAGCCCCGCGTCGGGCTCTGGGCTGATGGCTCAGAGCCTGGAGCCTGTTTCCGATTCTGTGTCTCCCTCTCTCTCTGCCCCTCCCCCATTCATGCTCTGTCTCTCTCTGTCCCAAAAATAAATAAACGTTGAAAAAAAAAAAATTTAAAAATGTTCATTAATTTGACAGGGGGGTGGGGACGGGCAGAGAGAGGGAGACAGAGGATCTCCGTGCTGATAGCAGAGAGCCCGATGCGGGGCTCGAACTCACGAAACGTGAGATCATGGCCTGAACCGAAGTCGGACACTTAACCGACTCACCCAGGCAGCCCTGGACTGAACATTTTTAAATGGTTAACTTTAGGGGCTCCTGGGTGGCTGAGTTGGTGACGTGTCTGACTCTTGATTTTGGCTCTGGTCATGATCTCGTGGTTCATGAGTTTGAGCCCCAAAGTGGGCTCTGTCCGGACAGGGCAGAGGCTGCTTGGGATTCTCTCTCCCCCTCTCTCTGCCCCTCCCCTGCTGGTGCACTCTCTCTCTCAATATAAATAAATAAACTTTTAAAAAATAAAAAAAAATAAAAATCTTTTTAAAAGACAGATGGGCGAGGGGCGCCTGGGGGGCTCAGTCGGTTGAGCGTCCGACTTCAGCTCAGGTCATGATCTCACGGTTCGTGAGCTCGAGCGCCGCGTCGGGCTCTGTGCGGACAGCTCAGAGCCTGGAGCCTGCTTCACGTTCTGTGTCTCCTTCTCTCTCTGCCCCTCCCTGACTTGTGCTCTGTCTCTCAAAAATAAATAAATGTAAAAAAATAATAATAATTCAATTAAAAAAAAAAAAAAAAAGATGGGCGCTGGAAAGGCCTCTTAGCACCGACAGAGACTCTGCTGGGGGTACCTGGAAGGAGGGTAAGGGACTGGGAAAGCACGAAGCCTCTCTCCCAAGTCGGTCAATGTCACTTAAAGCCACCTCCTGGGACCTTCGAAGCTACCTTGAGCATCCCAGCCCCAGAGACAACGTCCCACAATTCGGAAAACCTCATTTCCCATTGTCCCATCTCTGCCGTGAAAGGAGACCACCAAAGCAAACACGAGGACCCCATGTTTACAGACGGCAGAAGCGAGACCCTCAGTAAGGGGGGCAGTCACCTCGTCAGGCCCTTGAGGGTCGCAAATCTCAAACAAGCCCCCGCGTGCGTCCAAGCCTGGGGAAACCTAAAGTGGGTGAGACCAACGTGCCATCACTTGCTTCGGACGCTAAGCACGCTTGATTTTTCCTAGCAAGCACACATGCACGTGCCCTTTTCTATTTGATTTCCAAACGGCACGGGCAATGAGTGGTCAGCCATTTATAGCTTTGTGGTGCCCCCAGCCAGACCGAAGCCCAGGATCGCCACAGATTATGACTAAGAGGCTCTGCTGAGCAAGTCTGAGGACCTTACACAGCACGGAAGTCTGAGGAGCCGAGAGTCATGATCCGGGTGCCGGTTACACGGGTCCGTGCGCTTTGTGGAATTTCAAACTGCACGTGTTGCTTGGGGACCTCTCGGTACACGTGTTCATGTCAACACAAAAGGGAAAAATCTTGGGGCGCCTGGGTGGCGCAGTCGGTTAAGCGTCCGACTTCAGCCAGG